CATTACAAAATAGTTAAAAGTGTGTGACTTGTACTGTTATGGTAACGAGTCAATATCGGTATCGGTCAATATCGGTATCGGACATTTCTCAAAGTTGTAATATCGGTATCGTATCGGAAGTGAAAAAGTGGTATCGGGACATCCCTAGTATTTAGCTTAAAAAAGGCTAAATTTAGCTAATAACAGCTAAAAATTAGCTAACGTTGCAGCAATTAGCTGAAAATAGCAGAAAGCACCTGTAAGGAGTATTAGCACAAATTAGCTGAAACAAAAACACAAAAAAGTAGAAAAAAATTGAAGAACAGCAGAAAGAAGCTGAATTTTAGCTAAWATAATGGAAAAAAGTTGCTAAAATTAGCACAAGAAAGTAAAAAAGAGCAGAACCAGAACAAAATGTTCTGTAAAGATTTAGAAACATTTTAAAGGATTTTAATGATGTTGAAAACGGCTCCATTCATTTTCAATGTAAAAAAATTGGCTAAAAAAGTGAAAATAGCTGAAATACGAAGCGTCAGAGCTGGATTGTCATTAATGAGCTGAAGGTTTTGATGAAACAGCATAGAAATTGTGTGAACGCTGTGAAGCATCACACAACAAGACAACAAAGAGTTGAAGCAGGTTTTAAAGAAAAATTACAAAATAAACAACAACAACAACCTGCCGAATGAAACCAATGTTGTGATCTATGCACAGCTAAAACACACAAAACAGCTAAAACACCCGAAACAGCTAAAACACCCGAAACAGCTAAAACACCTGAAACAGCTAAAACAGCTAAAACAGTTGAAACAGCTAAAACAGCTAAAACAGCTAAAATAGCAACAGCTAAAACAGCTAAAACAGTTGAAACAGCTAAAACAGCTAAAACTGTTGAAACAGCTAAAACTGTTGAAACAGCTAAAACTGTTGAAACAGCTAAAACTGTTGAAACAGCTAAAACTGTTGAAACAGCTAAAACCGTGTGGTTAGAGAAATAAAACCAGTGTAAACGATGACTCAGCATTTTTCCAAACAATGACTGAGGAAGCCCACCGTGGCTGACAGGGACACGATGTACAGGTCCAGGTCTCCGTCTCCAGGAGTCCAGGAGACCAGAAGTCCACCAACAGAGTCTGAGAGACCGGGCTGAGGGACCAGGTACAGGTTCCTCACAGCGCTGGGAACTGGACAGGAGACAGAACCTGGATCAGAACCAGACTGGACTGGACAGGACTGGACTGGAGGTTTAGAGCCGTACCTGTGCGTCCCTCCATGAACTGGGCGGTCTGGTAGGGCCCACTGAACGTGGACACGACGATCTTATAGAGGCGTCCTGGAGTCARCGAGGTGAGCAGGTGATGTCGCTCGCCGCTGCTCAACACCACCGGAGGGAAGACCCGCGTGTCGTTAAAGAGCAGCGTCACCTGGAGGCACAGGTAGACCCGTGACTTCACCTGTACACTGAAACTACACGGCTGAGGGGCGGAGTCACACCTCATAGTGGTCCACGTCTCCGGGGGCGGGGCTCCAGGTCACGTTCAGGTGAGTTGTTCCGGTGTTGCCTAGCGTCAGATTGTTAACAGCTGCAGGAACTGAAACAACAAGACACCTGTAAACAAACAACAACAAAACAAACAAACAAACAACAAACAAACAAACAACAAACACACAAACAATCAAACGTACAAACAAACAACAAACACACAAACATCAACAACAACAAACAAACAAACAACAAACAAACAAAAACAACAAACAAACAACAACACACAAACAATCAAACACACAAACAAACAATCAAACACACAAACAACAAACAAACAACAAACAAACAAAAACAACACACAAACAAACACACAAACAACAAACAAACACACAAACAAACACACAACAAACACACAAACAAACAACAAACACATACTGTATCAAACAAACAAACAAAAAACAACAAACAAACAAACAACAAAAACACAAACAACAAACAAACAAACAACAAACAAAAAACAACACACAAACAATCAAACACACAAACAACAAACAAACACACAAACAAACACACAACAAACACACAAACAAACAAACAAACAACAAACACATACTGTATCAAACAAACAAACAAAAAACAACAAACAAACAAACAACAAAAACACAAACAACAAACAAAAACAACAAACAAACAAACAACAAACAAAAAACAACACACAAACAATCAAACACACAAACAACAAACAAACACACAAACAAACACACAACAAACACACAAACAACAAACACATACTGTATCAAACAAACAAACAAAAAACAACAAACAAACAAACAACAAAAACACAAACAACAAACAAACAAACAACAAACAAAAAACAACACACAAACAATCAAACACACAAACAACAAACAAACACACAACAAACACACAAACAAACAAACAAACAACAAACACATACTGTATCAAACAAACAAACAAAAAACAAAAAACAACAAACACACAAACAAACAATCAAACACACAAACAACAAACAAACACACAACAAACACACAAACAA